TTTGGATCGTTTCGATATCTCGTTTATCGATGGCATAATCGAGAGGAGTTCGAACAGTAGAATCTTGTATATGAGGATCAGCACCATATTTCAAAAGAGTCTTAGCAATACTATGGTAACCATTACGAGTAGCGTGATGTAATAGATACCTGTAATAGGTAGAGTGCATGTCACATCCTTGACTGAATAAATATTCGACTAATAAATCATTGTTTTGTTCAACAGCGATTGTCAAGAGATCAAATGCATTTATATCTACAAGTGAATTTTCAACAAGTTCTTGTACGAGATCCACATCTCCTAATTGGCATGCATCCAATAGTACAACTTGTATGGTATCGCTAGACTCATAGATTAAATCCCATTCTAGTTTACCAGTATATATCTTGTCTAGCAGTACTCGAACACATCTTGTATGCCCAATGTGGATGGCATGTAGAAGGATATTGGTCGGGGGTTCGTACTCTTCGAAAGTCCACTCGTTTGTCCAATATATTTCTTCACTATTGAAAATATTCACTGGTGGTAAGAGACAATCGAGAAGGTCAGCCTTGTCAAAATCGACAGCATTATAAATCTCTCTCCACTGTGCATCGATGAAATCTCTTGTCTCTTGCCAATCTTCATACTCATTCAAATCATGTTCATAATCGTAATCGTGATCTATTTCGTCTTTAAATTCATCTATATCGAACACGATTAACTGACGTTTGATTTGTGATCTGGGTGATTGTCGTTTTTTGTCTTCGGAGTCTACATAATAAAATAATTTTCATTTAATCTACTTTCATTCTGTAGCTTTTTTACCTTTACCGAAATATGAATTTGCTTTTCGTCGCGCAGTGTACCTGATGCGTTGGTGAAGCTGGTTGTACTTCCGTGAATCTGATGTGATAGCCATCGTTGTCCGAAACTCATTCTGATACACTCAGTTTTATATCCGACGATGCCACCAATGAAAGAATTGATAATGCTTTACTAGTGTATATGTCAAGTCGTGATGCAATCTGTTTACTTTATCAATCATAAAAAAGATGATGAAATGCAATGATAGCATTATTAGATTGGCTTTTTCCGTTTTAGTAAATACTTGTTGGATGAGTTATAATCTAAATGACTTCTAATTGATTGTTACTCTTTCGCAGATTTATGTGCTTTGTTAGTGTATACACTGACGTCAGATAATAAGAGAATCTCTTCTTATCAGCTAACGTCATACTTGCAAAACAATTGTCCAAATCGTTTCGTATGAGAGTGTCAAGATATACAGTAGATATTTTAATCTCTTCAGTTCGATGAATCAATGATTTCTATAACAGATAACAAGATTGTCGAAGTATTTAGTATTTACCTTAATTAATCATCGACACAAACCAACCTATTGATTGAAACTGATCCTATATGGAACAACTATTAAAATGGACACTCATTTGTAGATACGATCTTTGTTTCTAGTCTAACAAAAGAATATGTTTGAAGTGCGTAAGGCGATGGCGTGGAAGTCGCTTTTCATTAGTTCAATATCTGTCACATGATTCGCACATATGATATGACGAGTGAGTGATAGAATCAAGTAGATAGGCATTGGCTAGAGTTAAGCAATGCAGGTTGATCCTTTTATAAAGGTTTTAGTTTCAGTATCACCATCAGATTCAGTATTCGGTCATTCGTCTACCACGCGTACTGACCTTTATAGTATTTACGCATTTCTTCTCTGTAATTATCACCCATAAATGTATTGTGCACATCGTACGTCCTCTTGGTTGTCGTTGCTTTTGCCATTGTTTTATATTGAATAAGTTCTGGTTTTCTTTTTCAGAATTGCTGTCGGGATCGAAACGCAAACTATGATCACAGAGAGAAGCTCAATCAGTAGTGTTACCCAAAGCATCTTTCGCTTTTGATCCCGGGCAACATCTAACAGAAAGAGAGTGAATAATATACTTTTATTACGCAATACTAATGACGATAGTCCTACGACGTATTCTTTTGCTTATTACTTGTTTATATCATCAAGTAATGAGAGCATTGCTGGTTTTCACAAAATTGGAAGTAACAGAAGGTGTTGATATCTCTGTAGGAAGCAGGTACGCTGCTTTTGCGACTATACTTGAATGTATTTTCAATAGCTTACGATTTAGCGAAGCATTGTAGTATTTCAAAGCAGTGAAAAAGTAGAAGCGCTGACAGTCCTGGTATCATCTTTTGTTAAGCCAAACGATTACATTACAACACAACATAGTTTTACAAAGTTACGATCACAGACTGTATAATTGCACTTCAGAATACTGAACACAATTTGATATGTTTCGTTTGGCAGACACTAGAAATCGATAACTTCTGTATTCTTTAGTGTTATTAAAAAGTTGCAGTGGTCCACATTTTTTTCGACCAGGATCTGTCTCAAGTCCACTGGAACCACCGTACAGAAGAGTCCAGCTACTGCCAAGAGAAAGATCTCTTCCTGACAAACTACTTCCTTCTAATGATGCATGAATTGGATCGCGTTGCTCGAAATCATCAGCTGTGCAAACTTTCATTCCATTCACCAGTGTTGGACCACGGCTTAATTCAAGATAAAAACCCGTACCCGTCCCACAAGTAGGACCTTCACCCCCACTATGGCATGATCCAAAGCTGAGATACTTCGTCGATACATAACCATCACATGCTTTGTCTGGAGATTCTCTTGCCATATATTGACACCGCCACTCACCAGCATTTGCTGCGACGCTATCTGCACCTGCAGATGTATTACACACACCATAGACGTGTCTGTCAACAGCAGCCATTGATATTGGGCCTGCAACAGATACTCAAATAGAAGTGCTAGGAAAAGTCTGTGAAGAGGATGTCTGTCAGTTGGAGATGATAGACGTTTGAGTAGTATTCTCAAAATATTGAAACTTCTTTTCTGTCTGGCAAATGTATACCTGGCATAAATGTTGTTGTTGCTGGTTCCGTTCCAGTTATTGTCGCTGTTGCTGTTCTAGTTCCCGTTGTTGTTGCTGCTGCTGTTTCTGTTGTGATTAAACTAGTTTCATTTCTTTTCAGAATTACTGTCGGTATTAAAATGCAAATAACGATCACGGAGGCAATGGCAATCAGTAGTGTTACACATATCACCTTTCGCTTTCGTTTTCAACAGCATCTAATACAAAGAAGTTGCAAGTTTACAAGTCAATACTAATAATCATACCCATGCCGTACGTTTTGTTGTTTGCCAGTTGCATGTTCTGTGAATTCGAAATCCCCTGAGTCAAACTGAAATACAAAATCGATTCGACTAGATTAATATGATACAAATAAAACCATTACTTTCTGAGTTTTGACAACGTTTTGATTGACGACTGTGATCTTGTGCATGTTGTATCTCTGATAAAAGTATAATCTAGAATATGCAAGAATGCGAATGTTGTGATAAAATAGAACTGTGAATAGAGCACCAAAGCACTTAAGTATATATTCACAGATGTCGATTATCACAAAACAAATGTTCAATTATGACTTTTGAGTAAAACAAAAGCATTCACTACAAAATTAACGATTTTAGTTTTCTTTTCTCTGTCGGATAGAAGTATGTAGCAGATAGAAATAGAGAAAGATAAACAAGGACAGAGTTGCCTTCTACAATCGATTTTCTAAAACGGTTACTTGTACACTCTGACTTGCATTCGTTCGTCGCATTATTGTATGATCAATTGACAGTTTAGAGCATGTTTTTGTGAGAAAATCCTAAGCTGAAAGGTAATTTCACGATCAGATCGAACAGTTTAAATGTCATCTACTAACTACATGCATCCACATCTCTATTTGCAATAAGAAAATTATTAAGGCATTGTCTTGCTTCAAAGATGAAGAACGAAACCTTTTGATAAAATTTTCAATTCACCTATGTCAGAAAACGTATTTATACGTCACTAGAGCACGTGAAATGATGAGATGTAACTTGTTTAGTGGAAAGCATGACATTGACCGTATTCTGATATACAATTACGTAGAAATAACCTTGGTTCTCGTATCAGTAAAACTTCAGTGCAAAATAAAAAATTAATAGACATAACGCGATATTAGTCCCAGCGTGATTCGGCTGACTTACGTGGATAAGCATCAAGAAGTAAAATGATTTGGATAAATTGGTACGAAAATTGAACGACAAAATGAAGCGTATACTGGTGATCATTAAAGGAGGTGAGTTGAAAGTTAGTTTAAATTTGATCTGATACTTTCTAGTGGCTCTTTATTGCACAAACTATTGAAATATGTAAATAAATGATATTTAAACTTGTTTCAGTATCGATTTATTAATTCGATTGTAACATAGCAAAACAGTTTGATTTTTAACAAAGGCGTAAAAGCAGAACCAATGGCAACACTGATATTGGTTTTCAGATTATATCATAATAATAATAATTCGTTCAATGGAAAGAAAGAGAAATAACTGCAGAAGAAGAAAATTCTACGAAGTTAAGATGAGAAACTATATAATTGTACTTAGGAAAAACGGGAAAACAATGACTTTTGTGTTCTATTGCCGAAATAATACTCTGTACATATCAAATTTTCTTTTCTGTTAAAAGTCATATATACTCATCTGTGATGCTGTTACTACTGCGTTCTGATTGGTGCGCTTTTTGCTGTAATTTGTAATGCTATGTCGATTGTCGTAATTCTTTTCTTTGTTATTACTACTGTTACGACCATTGCTTCCACCACCCTCACGCTATCAGTGGCTTGCTCTGTCCGTTACGAATCAATTGGATTGATGTGGCATAAATAAAAGTGTTTGATTCTGCACTTCGGGAACATTTTCCTTGTTGTTAATGATTGTATTCGCAGGCACTTCTAGCATCAATTCAACGAATAACAAAAACGCAATCTCGCCTGTGAAGCTCCCACGCTCTAAACTGACAAATGATTTGAAAGAGCATAAGCATTATAGATATATCAGAGCTGCGCTTAACCGTTGTGAAATAGTTTACCCAGATGTCCATGGTTAAATAGTAAAACAAGAATTAACGTCAATATCGAGCTCAGAGCAATAAAAGAAAGCATCGTGTTTATCAGGAATTCAAAGAAAAGTTTGCCAAGCACTGTAGTTACAGTAAGAGGAAATGTTTTTTTTTTCACAATAATAAATACACAATAAAGAAGCATATGGCCTTTTGTCTTCATTAACAATGTGATTATCATGACTTTCCTTCAAAAAACAAAAGCGGTAGTCAGTGCTTCATATTATTAGACATAAGACCGAATACTCTATGTTTTCTTTTATATGTGATAGTTTTTTTTATTGAAAACAATATACTAAGATTCCGTAATATCTTTAGAAGGTGTTTCATATCTTGTTTCATTGATAAGACTATCTGCTGACTTAGTTGATGTGTCTTCTNTTATTAACAATGTGACTGTCATGACTTTCCTTCGAGAAAAAAAGCGGTAGTCAGTGCTCGATATCATCTGACATAAGGCCGAATACTCTATGTTTTTCTTTTATATGTGATAGTTTTTTTTATTGAAAACAATATACTAAGATTCCGTAATATCTTTAGAAGGTGTTTCATATCTTGTTTCATTGATAAGACTATCTGCTGACTTAGTTGATGTGTCTTCTATGCCCTGGATCTTTTCATCTTCATCGCGCCTTTTGTAGGAAAATCGTGCACATAACACCATTATCAGCGACAAAGCACTGGTTATAAGTACAATGAAATTCACAAGTTTGCCTCGACTAGGTGCTATGAATAGCAGTGTAAGACTAATGACATTACTCCATTGAACGAGAATCGATGCTGATAACGATTCCGGCAGAGGAAACATAATTTCCGCCAGAGCTTCATAGAACAATGGTAGTCCGGCACCTTGAAACATGCCAGCCAATCCTAACGATAGACCAATGGTTAAGGCGTTCGATGAAAGAATCAGTTGACTGTAGAAATACGTCGGAACCATCAATATAAACCAAACAAGCGATAGAAAACAGCCGATACAAGCGATAATAAGAAGTAATTTGAATGAGCGTCGAAAAGGACCTGTGTCGGCTAGTGCGGCAAAAGCGAGACCACCAATATTACCCGAGAGAGCTGAACCAAAACTAAACCAACCCGTCTCGATTTCAGTGAAATTCTGAGGTATAAGAATAACATCGTAAAGGCCAACCCAGACATTGAATATCCCGTAGGAAAAACTACCCGCATTACAAATAAGTAAAAACGAAGGTGTTTTTAAACATTGCCAGATGTGTTTGAAGTGAATCTTCCACGAAATACTTTCTTCATTGATGCTGAGCGCAAGTTGTTGAGCAGCAGGTGATGGAGGGGTTGGTGGACGGGCTGGAAAATATAAGTATGTCATAACGCAAGCAACAAATGCTAGACCCAGATGAATGTAGAGAAGACGGGGAACGCATTCAGGTGAAGAAACAATGAAAGGACTAATGACATAGCCGATCGTTCCTCCGAAATTATTCGCAATGATGGCAATAGTTGTTGCTCGGGTACGTTCATTTAAACCAAACCATTCACATGACAGCTGCGATACAGGTGCTGTCACTAATGGATAACAGATTGCATTCAGAATATGACCGGCNAATGCTAGACCCAGATGAATGTAGAGAAGACGAGGAACGCATTCAGGTGAAGAAACAATAAAAGGACTAATGACATAGCCGATCGTTCCTCCGAAATTATTCGCAATGATGGCAATAGTTGTTGCTCGGGTACGTTCATTTAAACCAAACCATTCACATGACAGCTGCGATACAGGTGCTGTCACTAATGGATAACAGATTGCATTCAGAATATGACCGGCGTGCAGAAATGGCATCGAAATCGTATGAAAATGCGGACTCGATGGATGACTGATAATCAATGGTATAAGACGAAGTATTGTCGCAATAAAAATCAACGTGGCAACTAACATGACACATTTACGAAGTCCATGCTGCTTATTTAACAGGATATAGGCTAGAGGAAGAAACGGAATGAACAAAATTGACTGCCAATTGAGAAGGAGATCAACAGTGGCTTCACTCATTTGATAATACTTTTCGGCATTTCGTGCAATCGGAGAGAATGTTAACCAAATGATATTTTGATTGAATGAAAGTAAGAAAAATACAAAAAGAACGTAAAAGCGTTGCGGATATGTTCGGTATGTGCATGATGTCTCAGGTGCAAGAAGCGGCACAGTTTCACTGTTCGACATAGCTTTGCTTTTGAAAATCAAAACAATGTTTGATACTGACCGTTGAAAGTTGCAAAGGTGCGTCTGTGACGGTAGAGAAGAAAGCACGTGCTGATAAGTTTGGACTCAAGATAAACAGTGAAGATGTGCGTGTTTTTCTCTTTTGTAAAGAAGAAAACAAAAATTGATGACTATGTGTTATGAATATCTATCTGCACTCTTACTGTATGCAAGAATGCAACAAAACAAAGCAGAAAATGTCTATAGAATTATTGACTTTCAAACTGAAGTTTTTCTTGTGATAAGATTTTTCATTTCATGATGCTTCTTTCTTTGAGAGATAGGAGAAGTAAATTCTTCTAGCATTTGAGTTCATTTCTCGTATCAGTTCGGACGATTATCTTTTGTTATTTTGTATCAGTCACATTTTTCAAGGTAATTACATCAATGTAAATTTTCTCTCCGGCATGCTGAATGAAACATAAAATTCTAATTTTTAATAAATAGAATACTTGATCAGTGAAGGAAAGAAATGCAAGGACTACACCCATGATTGTCAATCAGATCTGAAAATTGAATGTAGACGTTCACAGAATACATTTAACCACACGTGTAAGAAATGCAAAATGGAGTGATAATGAATGGAAAATCTCACAATATTACTGTACGGAGGAAAAGATACGAGCGTAAAGAATATGAAAAAGGTAATGCAAGATCGTTATGATCATCGTAGTTATGAACTTCGTCCTATCTATGATGATACTGCGTATCTCTAATGTAAACATACTTTTACAGTTTACGCATTAATGTAAATATAAGTAGGAGACTGGTTATTGAGTGTAAAGAATCTTTGTTTGTATCGATGTGCTTCTTACTGCTACGAATGACGTCCATTGAATTAATACAGTCGCAAAAATAATGATGATGCATACACACAAAATCAAGGTGTACATTTTGTTTGTATTGTTTTATTTGACTGAAAATAAACATAGTTGGACATTGCACTCTTTCGCACAACTCTTCACAATTGAAGTATATATGAGAGACGCCGCATCCTGCTTGAAAGCATTTACCAAGAAAAATTTATCTGTGAGTCCATCGCTCGATTACAATGAATGCTTCTCGATTGATCAGCAAACAGACGATTGTATGTGTCGTCGCCTTATTTGTATATTTACAAATATGCTGCGAGACAGCGCCTACTCAAGGTCTTGACTCTAGTACAGTAACCACCACCATGAATGGCTCATCTACTGATTCTTTGCTCATGCGACATTGCAACAGCTCTTGTTCTCNGGAACGCATTCAGGTGAAGAAACAATGAAAGGACTAATGACATAGCCGATCGTTCCTCCGAAATTATTCGCAATGATGGCAATAGTTGTTGCTCGGGTACGTTCATTTAAACCAAACCATTCACATGACAGCTGCGATACAGGTGCTGTCACTAATGGATAACAGATTGCATTCAGAATATGACCGGCATGCAGAAATGGCATCGAAATAGTATGAAAATGCGGACTCGATGGATGACTGATAATCAATGGTATAAGACGAAGTATTGTCGCAATAAAAATCAAAGTGGCAACTAACATGACACATTTACGAAGTCCATGCTGCTTATTTAACAGGATGTAGGCTAGAGGAAGAAACGGAATGAACAGAATTGACTGCCAATTGAGAAGGAGATCAACGGTGGCTTCACTCATTTGATAATACTTTTCGGCATTTCGTGCAATCGGAGAGAATGTTAACCAAATGATATTTTGATTGAATGAAAGCAAGAAAAATACAAAAAGAACGTAAAATCGTTGCGGATATGTTCGGTACGTGCATGATGTCTCAGGTGCAAGAAGCGGCACAGTTTCACTGTTCGACATAGCTTTGCTTGTGAAAATCAAAACAATGTTTGATACTGACCGTTGAAAGTTGCAAAAGGTGCGTCTATGACGACAGAGAAGAGAGCACGTGCTGATAAGTTTGGCCTCAAGATAAACAGTGAAGATGTGCGTGTTTTTCTCTTTTGTAAAGAAGAAAACAAAAATTGATGACTCTGTGTTATGAATATCTATCTGCACTCTTACTGTATGCAAGAATGCAACAAAACAAAGCAGAAAATGTCTATAGAATTATTGACTTTCAAACTGAAGTTTTTCTTGTGATAAGATTTTTCATTTCATGATGCTTCTTTCTTTGAGAGATAGGAGAAGTAAATTCTTCTAGCATTTGAGTTCATTTCTCGTATCAGTTCGGACGATTATCTTTTGTTATTTTGTACTAGTCACATTTTTCAAGGTAATTACATCAATATAAATTTTCTCTGCTGGATGCTGAATGAAACATAAAATGCTAGCTATTCATAAATAGAATACTTGATTAGTGAAGGAAAGAAGTGCAAGGACTACACGCATGATTGTCAACCAGGTCTGAAAATTGAATGTAGACATTCACAGAATACATTTAACCCCACGTGTGAGAAATGCAAAATGGAGTGATAATGAAGGGAAAATCTCCCAATATTGTTATACGGAGGAAAAGATACGAGCGTAAAGAATATGAAAAAGGTCATGCAAGATCGTTATGATCATCGTAGTTACGAACTTGATTCTATCTACGATGATACTGTATCTTTGACGTAAACATACTTTTACAGTTTACGCATTAATATAAATATAAGTAGGAGACTAGTTTATTGAGTGTTAAGAATCTTTGTTTGTATTGATATGATTCTTACTGCTACGAATGACGTCCATTGAATTAATATAGTCGCAAAAATAATGATGATGTACACACAAAATCAAGGTGTACATTTTGTTTGTATTGTTTTATTTGACTGAAAATAAACATAGTTGGACATTGTACTCTTTCGCACAACTCTTCACAATTGAAGTATATATGAGAGACGCCGCATCCTACTTGAAAGCATTAACCAAGAAAAACTTATTTGTGAGCCCATCGTTCGATTACAATGAGCGCTTCTCGATTGATCAGCGAACAAACGATTGTATGTGTCGTCGCCTTATTTGTATATTTACAAATATGCTGCGAGACAGCGCCTACTCAAGGTCTTGACTCTAGTACAGTAACCACCACCATGAATGGCTCATCTACTGATTCTTTGCTCATGCGACATTGCAACAGCTCTTGTTCTCAACAGAACCACTGCTGCCCTTCGTAATAACGGTATTTTCAACGGCATTGCACACAAGATAAATACAACCGTTCAAATTAATATTGATAATTCGGGTCATCACTGTGGCAGTAATGGCTATTATTGTTCCAGTCACGTTCGACGTTCTGCTCTCGTCGAGAAAGGATCCGATGCCGACAATAATGATTATAATTTGACTCGCGATAGTACTTTTAAACAGACTAAGGCTGCACTGCAAGGACTTGATCGTTTGGATAAGCAAAATGGTATAACAACTGTCAACTCTACTACTGAAACAACGACTACTTATAACTTTCGTGCTGATTACAAACGTAACTGTGATGCACAGCTGTAAAACAGTATGCTTCATAGGTCATCTACGACATTAATCTGGAGGGTAAGAATGAAGAATTGAATCTAAAGAAATCGACAATGATCATTCCACTTTTCCCCCAATGAGCTAAAACTCACGATGATTGAAATAATTCATTCTTAAACAACTACCGTTTTATTCAAATTAGTTAAAACTCAGTTTTTATGAACTACTGTCAAAAACGTCAAAGATCAGGGAGGGTTCCAGTGCGTATTCTGTATTGTATTTTTTCAAGTACAGATCTATTTCGCGATGAACCACCTTGAGCGATTTGTAATGAATATTGATAGAATTGTATTGCTTGATTTGAATAGCCTTGTTTCGCATAAATATCACCGATAACNAACAACTACCGTTTTATTCAAATTAGTTAAAACTCAGTTTTTATGAACTACTGTCAAAAACGTCAAAGATCAGGGAGGGTTCCAGTGCGTATTCTGTATTGTATTTTTTCAAGTACAGATCTATTTCGCGATGAACCACCTTGAGCGATTTGTAATGAATATTGATAGAATTGTATTGCTTGATTTGAATAGCCTTGTTTCGCATAAATATCACCGATAACGAGATAAGTCCACATTAATTGCGAATATTGTCCAGCTTGACGGTTGAGTAAGCTCTGAAAGTAATTCAATGCTTGAATATAATATTGTTTTCTCAAGAAGAAATTTCCTAAGATTTCAAAAACTTCATCCGGCGAGAATTTCTTCAATTTTGGATTTTGCAACGAATTTGTTAAATAAGACGCGAGATGAGTTGATAGAGAATTTTCCAATTGAAAACTGTTTAGATAAGAGTCAAGTTGTGTGAATTGTTTTGTATTGATGCCATAGATGAAATAATCTTTGGTCAAAAAGATTCGTCCAATTTGATATAGAGTTTCTTCGATCGAGTTCGTCTGGTGCTGCAATTGACAATTCAAGAAGTGAAAGAAATAAATCAATGCTTGATTAAAACGTCGTTTTTTTAGATATATATTTCCAATGATTCCATACAAATACTTCAATGAAATATCTGCATACGACTTGCTATTCAATTCTTTCATTAATAAAGATGAGAAATATTCACCTACTTTCTCGTAATCTTGTTTTTCATAATGAATACTCGTGACAACATAATTTAAGGCAGAATCTCTTCGCTTCTTTTTCAATTGTTCTTGAAAGTGATATAAAGATTGATCGAGGTGATATTTCTCAAAATGAAGATTTTTTATATGCTGAGATTTGTTTTCCACTTGACTTTTGTCTAAATTCGAATAGAACAGCAACGATTGAGTAAAATTTTTCTTCTTTAAATAAATCTTTTTGATCGATTCATAGACTTCGTCGATACATTTTGTATCCAAGGGTAATTTTCCAAAATAGCAATCAAGTGTACGATTATAATACAGCATTGCCTCACTTAATTTGCCTTGCCTATAGTACGTTTTCGCCAGAATCTTGTAAATATCAAGCAAAGAATAATCATTGGGTAATTTCGTTTCCAATTCGTTTTTTAGACAATTCAGGTAAAATGGAGTGGATTGGTCTAAGACTTTTTTGTCTGAGGTTGTCTCATATTTATCCAAATAGAGATCGGCGAGTGTTCGATAAGAAGTGCTCAATGATGTTTCACCTTGTTTTTTTCTTTGCTGATCGGCTCGAAGAATTTTTTCGAAGTATTTCGATGCTGCATCGAAGTTTCGTCTTTTCCAATGAGCGTGTCCCAGATCCGAGTAGGTCTTCATAACAGATGGATGATCCCAAGATAAGGTTTTCAGTTGATTTTCCAAGCGTTTTTCGTAGTAGAATATGGCTTTTTCCGTGTTGGACTGTTTCATATAAAAATCACCGAAATTTTGAAATGTTTCAGCAAAATCTGAATGGTTACCAGGCAAGCTGTTCAATTGCAATTGGTACGCTTTTTGAAAAAATTCGTACGATTTGTCGAAATTGTCATTTTGTAAATGCATCAAGCCAACTTGAAGATAAGTATAACTCAAATCTGGGTGTTTATCGTGTAGTTCTTTGATTTGTAATTCGGCAACAGTATCAAACATCTTTGTTGCTTGCTCGTTTTGGTTAATTGCAGATAGATTCCTTCCCATATGAATGTAAACGTCAGCAAGAAATGCAGATTTAATTTTGGATTTATTGTCCATGATTCTTTGTAGATAATCCAATGATAAACGGTGATTCTTGGCTTTCAAATAAACTTTTGCCATATTGAAGTAGGTCACTAAAGATTCGTTATTTTGTGTACTCAAAGCTTTATCGAAATATGCGAATGATGTGTGATAATCTTCTTGACAAGAATAAACAAATCCTAATTCGTTATAACATTCCGATACAAATGAATGATCTTTCAATTGTGGATTGTTTAGTAAATAGTCCAACGATTTGTTGAAATTCTCGATCGAACTCACGTAGTTTCCTTTCTTTTCTTGCACTTTGCCAAGAATTTGATAACAGTAGGCAAAATCTAGTGGATCTTGAATGCTTTTGTTTTGCAGAAGGGTTTCGAGGTACCCTTGAGCTTGATCATACTTTTGCATATGGATGAAATAAGTTCCCATTGCAACGAGATGATTATTTCCTTCCAATTCCTTTTCTAAAGTCTTCGAAACTTTTTCCGTTTCGGCATTGTTCTCGGCGCATAGAGTAAACTCTGCCATCCAAAGTTTATGCTCATCATCAAAAGAAACCTTTTCGATCCGAAAAACACTACCAACAGCAAAGAGTATTTCCTCTTCTTCTGGAAACGCACTTAAACGTCGAATGTCAGCGAAAGGCTTCGACTGGGTGAAAATATCAATATTCATTTGCAATAAAACCGATGTTAAGTCGTCTGTAGGTGGAGGACGACTCGTGGCAAATTCAAATGCTTTCTTTCGATTTGTGCTTGTAGACAAGAATGAATTCATCGAGATAAGATCTCCTGGACTTGCTTGCAAACGTGTTATTTCATCTTTACTGATGAACTGACCACGATAAACTTGAAATTGCGCACTTTTTTCCTGTTGTTTTCTCACAAATAATTGATGTTCTTCGCCAAGTTGAACGGTCAAATCCTTGATAAATGATGCGAATGGTGTAACATCATCGGTATTTTGCGTTCGCAGCGCTTTGTTGAGATTTTTGTAAACAGGCGATTCCTTTGTGTACCAAAATATCGCTTTACTTGGCTGATAAGTTTTATCAAATTCTTTTAATAAAATTTTATCCTTTTTTTCATCTGGGTGAAAATACTTCAGCAATGATTGCTTATTGTCCAGACTGCCTTTCAGAATCTGCTCTATCAGTAATCGATAGAGAATAAACTCACCATTTAATGATTTGTGCATGCTATCGTTGTCTTTCGCGGAAAAAACAGCCGATCCCAATCGATCTTCCGCAGAGTTTCTTTTCACTGAATTGTCAACCATGTCCTTTGAAATGGAAATTTCTTTGTTAGGAATCTAAAATTTGAATACATTTCAAACAACATTCAACAGATAGACATAGAAATACTGTTGACGATAGATCGAGGACTACTGCGCTGTTTCGAATCATATATTTATCCGATGCGCATTATGCTCCCAAAGGTAAAAACATGTTTTGTTATTAAGTCAAATCAAAAGTAATATACATCGGCAAGTAACCTTCTTTCTACAATAGTACTTAATTTTTTTGCTAATAGGTAATATCATTAATGTCATATAAGGGCAAAACCAACGCAATTATGGTGGACTTTTTTTGTTAATTTTCTCTCGAGCTTCCATTCGATCTTTTTAATATTTGATCATTATTAGATACACTAAAAACGCACTTTTTTTCTGTCTGATTCAAACTGATATCGGTTCATCTTGAAAAAAGTATTCTTGCCGATTGGCGAACTGGGGAATGTACTTATCTTGTGAAGGTAATTTGACGTTTTAGTTTCGCTTCTCTCTCTCTCTCTTTCAAACCTTGAAAATGAGGTTGTTATTTTGTTATTCTTTCTTTGATTGATGATTTAGGTGAGTAATTCAATTTTATGGTTGATTTATCCGAGCAAAAGTGAGAAATATAATATAGTTGGTTTAGTATCATTGTCACAGGGATAACAGATTTCGAATGTAAAAAAGATTCAACATCGTTCTACACAAATGAACGTTCACGAAATCATTTTTTTGTTGAACCGCGATTTATTAATGTATGATTATTGCAATAGATGAATAGAACACACTTGCGATATATTTGTGTGACATTTTATTTAAAAAGTTCGAAAAAGGTACGAGTATTATTATTATTATTATTATTTGCTAATTTTATATGCACGTTCGAAAAGAAACAAATAAAAGTCATTATGTATGATAAAGTCGCTGCAAAGACTTCATTGTTTTGTCATTTGATTATGAAATACAAATTCCAGTTGGTTGGAAGCCAATAAAAAACTGATTAAGAATAATTTCTCACTAATTCAGCCTCAGCTACACTGCGTACCTATGTACATATATAGAATAGGGAGAAAGTAAAGTCATATGAAAATTCAGTAGATATGAACCAAGGTAACCAAAAATTCTCCAGTTCATCCCATTTTACAGGCGCACATGACGTTTCACGGCATGGATTATCAATAGTACGCGTTGTGAAATCTTCTCGTCTTAATAATGAAAAACTTGCAAACAAAACAATATCAACACGTGGTACAAAAATTAACGGTGTTATTCATACGAGAATTCGATCTCCGAAAAAACTTCCACGTGCCGATACTATGACTGATTTGCTTTCGGTTTTAAATGATTGAATGTTGAGTCTTTTTTATATCTGGTTTTCTTTTCCTTTTCATAGTTCCCACTCAGTCGAACTGTTGCCTATCCACAAACTCAATCGTCCATTGTTGGAAAGCCCAACAAACCACAAGCTACTGATAATACTGAAACGATTCAACATCATCAACCTGGATCAGCAGTACGTAGTTAAAACTATGTTTTTCATCGCGATAAATATTCTGTCAGAGTTCTTGGGATACTGATGATTTTCAATTAAACTCATCAGTTGACATCGTATCTTCAGCAAGATCTCCAATTTTTCGATCAACTAGAGTGCATGACAATCAGGTATTTTATCATCAAAGCTTCATCTGAAATGTGACGTTTTTTCTTAAGAATATCAACATGAATTCAGCATTTGAGTTTGGAAATTTTGATACTATATCGGTAAGAAATTCTTATATTTTATGCCTTCTAATATTTTTTGAAATAAAACTGGCACAAAAAAGACTCAATCGAACGAAAGAAATTCGAGAGACAAATCCTACGGACTTTTAAATGATATCAAAACCATTGGTAAAAAGAAAAAGTGAGCCAATTGACTTCAAGTATTTATCACTTGGAAATTTCCTTCTGTTACTATTCAAGACGGTTTTGTCCCAAGCTTTCAGGAAAGCTTGTATGTACAATTGCACTCCTTGCTCTTCTTATTGCTGCACTTATTGCTGGAATTGTTGTTACTATCGTAATGACTTCGAAAGATACAACAAAAAAAACAAGTGAGACTTCGTTAAAGCACATAACTCCATGTCAACGAATTTGAGTTCTTTTCGGGATAAAAATTTCAGCTGTAACGACAACTTCACAAACAACAGTGACAACAACTTCAGCCACGACGACGACAACAACAACAACGACAACTTCAGTCACGACCACAACGGCAACAACAACAGCAACTACACGACCAGTCACATGTCCATCAGCTGTCTGGCATCCAAATGGAACTACAGTTGCCGGATCATCTAATGGCAACCCTGGTTCATCGGCATCGTTATTAAACGGAGCATATGATGTTCGAGTTGATTCAGCACTTAACGTGTATGTGGCAGATTACTCGAATTATCGTTTCATGAAATGGCCTCCAAACAGTACAAATGGAACAGTAATTGGTCCAAAACTTGGTGCAGGTTCATCTGCAGATACACAACATTTGAACACAGCTACAACTCTATGTTTTGACTCGACTGAATCTAATTTGTATCTATCAGATACATTCAACTGTCGTATTTTAAAATTGAATATAGCATCAGGAAATATCACAGTTGTTATCGGCTCAGGTTGCGGTAATGCTTTGAATCAAATCGACTGGTGTGATGGATTATATATCGATCGTCAGTATTTATAATATCTATTTATTTTATACTTACAATTAAAGCGAATTTGTTTTATTATAAATAGGATTTGATAATATTTATGCTGCTGACTGGATAAATGATCGTGTACTCAAATTTCCTCCTAGCTCAAATTTATCGACACATGGTGTTATCGTAGCTGGAACCGGTGTTGCAGGATCAGCTCTCAATCAACTAAATACACCTTGGAATATCTATATCGATGAATCTGATAACGATACATTATATGTTTCAGATTACGCCAATCATCGTGTGATGAAATGGCTTGCAAATGCTACAAATGGGACAATTGTTGCAGGAGGAAATGGTGCTGGATTGTTGTACACACAATTGACAAATCCACAAGGTGTTTTTGTTGACTCATTTGGAACAGTCTTTGTCGCTGATTATGGTAATCATAGGATAATGAAATGGTTGAAAGGCGCAAATAATGGAACATTAGTAGCAGGTGTATCCGGAAGTGCAGGAAATACAGCTATGAAATTATATGGTCCTTCTGGAATTCAGTTTGATAAAAATGGGGATTTATACGTTTCTGATTATGGAAACAATCGTATTCAAAGATTTACGATTAATAGCACTTCTTGTTGAAACGTACATTTCAAGAAAGTTTTTTTTTTTTAATATTCTCTTTTATTTGATGTAAAGTCCAACTTTTCGAACGTTTCAATGATCGGATGTACTTTTTTAACATAATTTATGATCAAAAAATATCAAAACTGCGAATTGAATAACCATTCTCGATAATTTTTAGACGAAGTACTGCAAGTGATGGTACACTTGTTTGATTGAAATTGAATTGTATAAGAGGTGTTGCTTGAAATACAGTTGTATTAACTGTTTTCGGTGTTTGAATTTGAATAAATTGTTGATTATTAATCGAAGCTTCCAATATTCCTGAATTCCCTGCAACATAAACAGTTAAATTCAAACGTAGTAATGGTTGATGAATTCGCAAAGGATAATAAAATGTTGCATTGCGCTTTAAATTTCTTAAATCAGGATCAGGATATGGAACTTGATGATTCATAAAATTTGTTGCATTAAAATTCATTGATGGAACAGGCATTCCAAAATTTATTTCAACCGAACTGTGCCGAATTTGATCAATTGCATTTAGTTTTGGTGCTGGTCGTGGTAATTGAGCAACAGGCGATGTTGAATTGAACATATTTGTTGTATCAATTAAGGTTTCTTGTCTCATATCTTCAAGTAAATTCCACGTTCCCGACAATTCAATATTACCTGCACCAGCTACATACCAATTAAATATTTCAAATCCAAATCGATACCAACCATTTAAATATGCTTTACATATATCAATCATTCGTGGATGTCGAGTAGCGTTTATTTTCGCTTCGAATGAACAATCCTGACATCCAGAAGATGTATCAGTTCCTCCTTCATACGCATATACAGCTAAATGATACCAAGCAGCATAAATTCCATGAACACCAAGAGGTGCTTGTTGACTCCAACCTTGTTCGGGTAAAAATCGTTGCATACTTGAATTGAATATATCAAGTACTTGATCAGTTGTTAAATTTGACCAAGTTCGATACTTTCCCAATGTCATATAAGGAGCTACAGCAATACCATGGAGAAATATTGATGGTGAACCATATTGAGCATTTAAATAATCTAAACCAGTCATAATAACATGTGGTTTATCAGTTTGACCAGCTAAAATTGGTCGAACACGTTTCCATAAACCGACGTTTTCATAACCAAATATGTTTTTAAATAAATCTGATATTCGTTTAATTTGATATGCTGTTCGCCGAAATGCCCATGTATGTACATCTTTGACATTATCATAATTTAAATGTAATGGATCACCATGATTATGAACAGAATCATTTGCAGCATAAACATTATCTGCAGCTTGAGAAAATCCTCTATTCCACAATTCATTTGAATATTCAACATAAACTATAGTTTTATTATTCAATTCATTGAACATTAATTGTGCAAGATTGAGAATATAATCATCCGAAGCATTGAATGGAATATTAATCCATATATCGATCGATTTATTAAATTGATTTACTATGAATGGAATTGTTTGCCAAGGATTACGTTTAGGTGGAGTATATTGTGGCCAAGATAATGCTGTTGTTTCATTCCAATGCCTTTCAGGATTATTATTTGTATCAGTCCATGCCATGAAACGAATTAAATTGAAACGTGATAAATGTATTAACATTAAATCTGTTAAATTTATTTTTGATTTCACAGTATAATTTGATTGTAATAAAAGCATATCTTGTAAACCAGGACCTGTTGTATTTAGGAAACTCAATATGATTCCCGTTTGGCCTTGTGGAACGTTAATAAAAGATGTTAAAGTATTCGTTAATCTATCATACGTTTGATTAGTTACATAAATTGATAGGCTATCAATGGTTGAAATACTTGCATTACCTTTCGCATAGAAGAAATATTTTCCCCCCATATCAAGATTATTTGTAGCAATAATTACACCAAAGTCATTTACTGGCCATCCAGTTATTGGATTCAATGTAGCATTCCCATCCCAAGGTGTAGATGGACTACCCCACTGACGTGATTGTTTTATTAAATTTACATATTGAAGACTACGATTCCAGTCACGTAATGCACCCATGTTAATACCAATAGAAACTAAGGTAAAAACTTGTGAGATGAAAATCAATATTGAAATTATTATAAACCAAATCATTGATTGTCTCAGTATTGAAGAAAATATCTTGTGTGATATAGATCACTTGATTTCTTCCTTTTTTTTATTCGAGTCGTTTTGATTAAATCCTTTTCTATTGACATGTTACTTTTCTATACCTTAAACCAATGAAACTAGAAACCTTTTCAGTATCGCAATCACACATATTCCAGGTGTAGACGTCTCTTAAAGGAGATATACTATTAACTATCAATTGACTTTCGTTTTTCTTATGTACAAACTTTCGAGAAGACATTTCGATATATTACAGTATTGCTAATTGATTGCAGCCAACTTTTACTATGCTCGGTTTTCTATATGTAACGATTAAGGAATGTTTGTAATTCACCTTGTGATATCATGTGGACTAGTTCTCATAATTTGCCGCGCTGTAGAAATTTGAAGAATTGCCCATAAGAAAATCACTGTAATGCTTTTTTATGCAGTTATAAGGCGAAGAAAAATATCGATGGTTTTGATAAATTTAAAAGGAATCTGCATAGGCAGTTTGCTGATCGGACACTTGATACTCACTACGTATTTGTCTGGTTTCCAAATATAGAAAAGGTTCCTTTGGTTACCCATCCAACCTGTGTTGGAAATCTCAAATCTTATCAACCGTATTTACATATGACTGTAAAGTCACGTATACATGGTTCAAACCATTTTCGTTACTGTTTTCACAAAGAACAAAAGTGACACTCATGAGTAGTTTCTTGTCTTCTGTCGTAAAAGATGGCGAGAAAACATTGTGACAGCTTTCTTTTACTATGAATATAATTACAATCACCGAATGAGAGCACACACTTTACAATTCGTGTTTATTTTATTTCGATCTAAACCTATAAGTAAGATAGTGTAACATATTTCAAAACTACGATTTATTCCTTTTTCAGAATTCTTTATTTATCATCGTCTAATTTCGTTCTTCAGTCAACCGTGAACGGTTAATGATATAACTAGTATAACGGGCCGAAATATCGTCACGTACACTTATTTAGTAGATCATTCTGCAATAGAAAACACCACAAAGTACTCGTACGTTTTTTGTGTATAGATCCTTTAGATAATAAAACAATTCTACTCATATGAATTCATCCGGTGAAATTGAACGACAAACAATTGATCGACATGGTTCAGTTGGAGCTTTATACGATATTCGAAAGGATAAATTAGAAGGAAAAAATTTTTTCCCTCTACTGAAAGGAGGGTAGTGCGTCGAGCTGATATCACCGAAAAAAACGAGTTGATGTTCGTTCGTTCATTTTTCTTCCAATATTACCTAATACTAGCTCATAGTAGTAAGGGTTGACCGAAGGGTAATCGAGGTCGAGGATCACGAATCCGAGGTTAGTTTCTCAAAATTCCAATTACCTCATTAGCTAATTAACTAATTAAGTNTATTATTTTCAAATAGATTTAACTTCAACTTCAACAGCTTCAACATCCACCTCAACATCAACATCAACAACATCAACATCCACCTCAACAACAACATCAAAAACATCAGTAACATCAAAAGTTTAAAACTCGAACATTCGAATTCTAAACGCATAAGTCTAGAAGTTTAGAAGTCGAAGAAGAAGTTTAATATTCGAATCGAGTTAACGATTTTTACACTACTCATCTGTCGACGACGACTTCGGTTTATTCTCACCACTCATATCCATATTCAGGAGAATATGTAAAACTGCATGAGAAAGAGCTGGTGAATACTGATTGTTTTGGATCTATCTATGCCTGTATATGGTTTGTTGAATGCAATGAATTCGAAGTAATATATAATGAAGGAATTCAAATGTTTTTTTCCGTAAAATAACTCAGATAGAATTACAAATGTGATGGAAGTCTTACTTTGGTGATCTTGTCAATTTTCTCAACTTTTATCTGAAACTTCGGTTTCATTGTAAATATCGAGAACGATTTTTTCTTCATTAGTCAATAGACGACTATGTTTTCTGCAGAAAACTATTTTGAGTTTGATATGCTGATATTCGTTGTGATATCACAATCAGTATTCAATTTAGTGTGTTACATACCGGTAGTTGATGTCGATGTTGATGTTGATGTTGTTGATGTTTTTGATGTTGTTGTTGAGGTGGATGTTGATGTTGTTGATGTTGATGTTGAGGTGGATGTTGAAGCTGTTGAAGTTGAAGTTAAATCTATTTGAAAATAATAAAATTTTACATAAATGAAAATAATTCGATAAAATGTTGTATTTATAACTTATTTATTCTTCTTGTCTTTCTAATGATATTTTCTATACATATAAAAAATCGCTTTGGTAGACTTCCATTTAGAGACCTTGGACTTGTTAATATTCATAGTAGTATTTAGTCTTCTAGGTTTCCTCATCATCGATAGAAAGATAGATTCTGAATTTGTAGTAATAAATTGCAATAGAGAACAGTTTTCATGTACTTCTGGCTCTCTAATTATAGTCTGAAATTGACTCTCTTTTTTTCTTCTACATTATAGATCGTAAAGGAACAAAAACTATTATATGTATTTCTAGTCTATAAGAATGAAACACTTCGGTAACTGATCTTTTTCCATACTCAAATAAAATGATTTTCATGACGAAAAGTCAATAATATGAATTCTATTTGATACAAACCAGGTGGATATCGTGTTCCAAAGATGGAAATCATTGTTACAGCATTCATTTCGTATGACATATTCGCATTTTGATTGATTAAATTATCAAATAACTGACATTGTAAATTTGATTTATGGAAAGTAATTGCCATACATTGAATTCGATTTAAACAATTTATTTCACAATAACGAATGTTTGATATTGTAAGATTCTCAAATGGTAAACAAGTTGATTGAGCACATTGAAATATTTTATCATCGATAATTGACATTTGAACTGATCGAATATCCTCTGACATTGCTTGGATAATAAACATCAAGAAAAATAGTAAAGAAATATTTCTTGAAGTCATCCTCAAACTGTAAATGGATGAAATGAATGAAACTAAAAAAGAAGTATTCTACAAGAAAACCTTTTTTCTCTCGTTTTCTCTCCCTCTCCTATTCTCTCTCTTTTTCTCTATTTTCATCCCAATGCAGACTGTCGGTTCCGGCCGGAATCCTGCGGCAATGAACCTACCGGAACTTGCTGGAATCGGCGAAAACTGTGCCGGAATCGAGAAGAGCTGTACCGGAACCGACTCAGGTTTCAACGGATCCAGTCGTCGTAATGATCGACCTGGGTTAATTGCCATCAGGCTCGGATCCAAAATCATCAAATTAGGTTCTATAGTTCTGATCCTAGATCTTCGAAACAGCGATTAGAATCGAATTGTAAACTTAGCAGAATCCTGTCAAACTCTAATTCCATTAATTAAATGAAAAAACTATATTTATAAAATATTTTGATGAACTTTTTATCATAAAACTACTTTGTTATAAGACGTTAGAAGACAATTAAAGATTTAGATTTATTTGTAAGTGAATAATTTCTAATAAATAACTTTTTATCTTTGTTACATTGATAAAAAAATGTTTTGGAGAAAAAAAACTAATGAAAGATCAAAGAAGAAAAACAAGAGTAAGAAGAGAGATTAGTTTTTCAGACTATTTGAATCAAAATATTGAAATGCATTTATTGATTAAAAATCAATCAAATATTCCTTGCTATATCGAGAGAGAATTCTGAATAAATATTAGTTTTTTCAACTGAAATCTTCCCAAGACGAGTAATCCGGGCTCTGGATCCCATCGGATCCTGTCGGAAAACCTACTAAATCCGGCAGATTCCTTCAGGAATCCGATAACTTCCGACAGCATCCGACAAAATCCGTGTCGGAAATCGTCGGAATCTTTGGTACAGGAATCCGATCGGAAGTAGTGGGGCGACGGATCCGACAATTTCCGACACCCGGATCCGATAGTCGGAAAATCCCAGAATGGACAGGATCCGATAGGTTTTTACAGNAACAGTTGCACTGACGTGTAAGTCGATAGCGACAACGAAAAGTTGTTCGCACATCTTGAGCGTTTTCGTGATTATACTGTTTTTGTATTGTTTTACTGGAAAAGATGTCCATTCGATTTTCTTTTGATTAGTTACTACAACGGTAAGCATTACAACTACGATAACTACTACTGCAACAAGTGAGTTAGTAAGAAAAAGACAAACGTCTATTTGTTTTTTTTTCCGTCTTCTAATTTAGCTACCGTTGTATGTACAACTCCAACCTCTTTTATTACCTCTTATAATAATGCTCCAAGTGCAAGTGTTTATACACAGGCAACATTCAGCTATACTGCGACGTCTACCGGCAGCGCTGTTGTTCAGTTCTGTACGATTAATTCCGGTTCCGGAAAGCATTGGTATTGGGACGATATCAGTATTGTGGATACGAATGCATCGAATTCTGAGATGCTCGTGAATAACAACTTTGAGAATGGTACTCTTGCTGGATGGCAAATGATATGTACTCCGAGTTGTGCATCAGGTTCTTCAGGCACTATATCATTTTCGTCATGTAATGGAGGTTCATACTGTTACGTAGATGAATGTCAAGGCGGACCGGATTGTTTACGACAAACGTTTCCCATAACTACGGGACATATTTACACCCTCTCGTACTTTATCATGTCCGACCAAAAAGGTAACATGAAGGCTTACGTTCAAATCTTTTAAGTCGTATTCAAATGTGAATGTAAAGACCAAAAGATTACAATTACTGCGTTTCTTGTTTTGAAACAATTATCGGAAATAAAATCGTCAGTAGAATTCTTATGTGATTATTGTATAATCTTTTTTGCACATATATCTTTTGAAGGTGAACTTTTAAGATCATTGAATAATCTTTCAACTACTTACATATATATTTCTATAAGAATTGGTATGTTGAGTATAGCTGTATTAAATAATTTCTACTTTTGGTCGTTTTTCATCAGATTTTGTATTATCTTGATTATCATTATTCTTATCTTCTACAAGATCAAATAAACATCATCATAATATCTTCAATATTAATAAAAATTGTCGCAGTAGTCAATTCCTGACGGTAAACTTGCTTTTGCCATCAGTTGTTACGGAAATTGTGACGGAAAGCAATACGTTTGTCTATTGAGCAGCTGAATTTGATGTAAGAACACCAACAAACATTGTAGTTGAATATGATTCTTTAAAAAGGTCGCTTTTTTATTTGCTAAATCCGTTGTCATCTGTGTCAAGTCGCGGCAGTGTCCTATTCGTTGACTAACAGTCAAGCATTTTCAGTGTTCTGAAGGAATATTAATTGCTGATGCATTCGAACATGAGAACTTTTCTGATGAATGAATAACATTAGCGTTGTAGATGTGACAATCTTCAATTCAAGGAATTTATGATATTTTCACATCTTTCTAGTTTATTTATTGAAACATCTTTCAAGGAGCGTTTCGAAGTGTCCCGCTCAAACTCCCGAATGAACCGGATATTCCACGAGGGATTAGCCTACTAACCAGCTCATTGACGACTGTGATCACCTGTTTACTGACCCATGATCCTGTTCGACAGTAGAAAGCGACGCATTCACAGTTCGAATGTAGAAGATTATAATCAGTCTGAGTAGGACTCTTTAATAATTCACGAGCCCGATCAACAGTTCTTTGACGTTTTTCCGCGTTGTCATTGGCGTACGAGATTAGGTACAATGGTCGACTAACGCTCCCAACTAATTCAGGGCTGCCAGCTAAAAAGGCAGCAAGTGTCGTTGTTTGAATTTTAGCGGTAGTTTTGTCACCAGGTCCCCAGAAATGAAGTATTTCCATCTGTCCGTTGGTGTCGAGAACAATACCATGATGGTACATATTACCAGCACCCTCCACTCCTGTTGCAATATGAGCACCAGGATAGAGAGCTTCCTGGACTGATTCTGGAGGAGCTATCAAACGTGCGTTTGATGGCTTCAGGTCGATCTTGAGTTGATCTAAAACCGACTGTGGGTTGGATGACATGTCTGAACTTTTCAAAAGCTTGTCTTGGCCAAAACCTAAAATTGGACAAAAAAGTTCATTAAAAAATGTCTTTTAGGTGAAATTCAGAATCAATATCAATCACTAAAAGTCATTGTAACGTTTCTTTTGCTACACGCGAAGAGTCATGTATAAATACCCGTTGGACAGGAAAAAACCCATATTACGAAATACTTGAAGTAGCTGTAAAACGGAATATTACCGCATGCTATTAAAATAGAATCCGATTATCGTGATTCGAAGACCGATGATATCGTTGGAAAGTGAATCACTCGCTGGCAAAGCTAATGCCGGGAAAGAACCCATAAATTACAAAGTATATACAAGAAAGAGAACATAATCAATCTTTCCTACTAACAATGCGTACATCGGTTGCCTATGTAAATATTTACATGTCATAGGATATGATCGTCGGCAGAATTGGTGAAGAAAATTTGAAAAAAAAGAACAGTTTGAAGGAATAATGATACATCAGGCTTATCTAAATAAGATTTATTTCTATATGGATCATAAAAATTCGTATTTCTTCCATTCTCAATCTTGTCAAACGTGTAGGTGATACAATTTCCTCAAATTTCTCATTAATATCATTTGATGAAGTTGTAAAATATGAGAAAAGTTTCGTAAAATTTGAAGTCAATTATTTAATAGATTCGATCAGACAAATTTATTTTCATAGTTCCTTTTTTTTTCAAAATAAAAAGAACGATTTGTGTAATTTACTCTTCTATATAGAATGTGCTTGAACTGTAAACATTGATTTTCGTTTAATCCAATATGTATCATTGTAAAATGATTGTAAATTACATTTAGGAATATAGGTGCATTGATAGTTATATCGTACGATGAAATGAAGACGCAACTGGATTAGTTGAGGTAGATATCGTTCGATCAATGTTTGCCACGCACATGCATCATCAAGAGCTTCCTTATGAACATATAAAAAAATATGTAGAATTTTTAAATGCGGCATCATACTAAACAGCCGGCGAAAGTTCTCGAATGACCAATCGAAGTGTGATAATAAAATGAACTTTCGCATTTTAGGAAAAAACATCTTATTTGTTAAATGATTGGACAACTGATCTTTTAATGCTGCATGACAAGATCGTAGATTCGGTGTATGTTGTAGGATATCTACCATTTGCTCACTTGTGGTATTCTCAAGAATGAGATACTTAAGTGCTGGAAGATCGAATGGAACTTGATCGCAATTCCAATCGAACAATTCTCCTTTCATTTTCAGATAAGTTAGAGTCTGATGAGAAGATTTTAGAAGAGTTAACCACAGCTGTTGAAACATTAATCGTAAATTCTTATCCAGAATGATTTCTTTACTTGGTCGTCTTCGTTCATTCATTACATAATCAAGTGGAAAGTTGAGGAAATGTTGATCTTTTCGATGGAATACAATTGCTTTCAATTGACTGAAATTTAAACGTGGAATTATTCTTGGAATCTTTTGGTGATCAGTAGCATCGATTGTTAAGGATTTGCAACCCAGGTCAAAAAATCAGATGTAAGCCCATGTACGATCATATAAGATCTTGTTCATACATGATTTTTTGCTTGATCTTCAAATAGGATCGTGTAATACCATATACATGCGGTTTTCCCTAAGATTCTATCCGTTTCTGAGTGTCAGATGCAAGCTAAAATCTTGCAAGATTCAAACGAACAGATTCGTACAGGATCAAACTGACTGCCTCTTGTAGAGTCTTATCCGATCTGAGCTGAATCGGACGAAAACAATCTTATATAACAACAACAATCCAGATCTTGTATGTTCTTGTAAGATCGTATAATTTCTCAACTCCGCTCGGGATTTGGTGATATAATGTGTTGACTATGGTTCTTGTAATTCTATAATGGTTCAATGATGCTTTGCGGGCTTATGTCTCTCAATAATGAGTTAATAATTCTTTTTATAATCAACTAGTTATTAATGTTAGATGATCCAATTTGGATTATTATTTGATATCTAGACTTTTTAATAAATAAAATAAATCTGTTGAAAATATGCTGATGTGTAGGAATGGTACCACTGTGTAACAGCGACCCCTATGTAAACTTCTCACTTTTCGATATACAACGGATACAACGGACGTTTGACAAATCAAAGCGAAATCTGCCGATTAATCGAAATAATGTACAAGCACCAGATTTTATCAATAAACTCTTTAACATTTGAACTTTTACGAAAGAGCTTTTGAGTTTCTGTAGCAAATGGCATATATTCGATAGTTCGTCAACGTTATTTTACCTCTTCATTGATCTAAAAAAACTACCATTGACTTGAGCTTGGAAAGTGCATGACAACAATGGCATTGTGTGGTGTTTATTTCTATCACGAATAATGAAAAGAAGCTAAGCTAAATTAAGTTCACAAGAAATAAAAAACACTGAATCAAATAAAGTCTTAGTTTTTGTTCCTGCTTTAGCTGTTGCATCGGTGAAAAGTCAATCATGATAGGTTCTCGAAAATCAGCGGTATTCGTTTTCAAACATAACAAAATAACAGACTCTCTCCGCCATTTTCACTTGAACTTAAGCTCTAGTCATTTTCAATATATAAAATCCGTTCTTCACCGCTATTCTATTGCTTTCTAGATTATTCTGCAGCAAAATTACAGAAGTGTACGCCTTGATTGTAATTAGGAACCGATTTTTCACTAGACATCTAGAGATTCTCTTCTAAAATGAATTTGTCCCTGTTCTCAATTGACGATTTTGCTGCTGAAACAATTCGTGAACGTGAAAATCGATTAGAAAAACGTCGTGTCAACTACCAACGCCGAAAATACTTGTCAAGTGATATTAATGGCTTCAAAAAAGGCTGCAAACACGTCCGAAGACAAGCTGTAGAACAAAATTTGGCCAGGAATAACAGGTATCCACAATGTACAGATGCATTTCCCATCAAATTATTGACAACAAACAAACAGAAATCGTCAACTGAGGATTCAAAGCAAGAATGGAATCGAGAAATATTCAATTCCGATTTTGAAGTCTTTCAAGGAGAATCATTGGATGGACGCGATGATGCACTACTTAGATCTCCTAAAAGTCCATCTTCGTCATCAAATAATGACAGTTCAGGTATGAAAACATGCATTATTACCTTCTAGTCTTGTAATTCAATCGCATTAATTGCGATGCGATGTTTGCAAACGTATTTTTATGAAAATCACAAAATCTATGAGGTTGACACAATTTTTTGGCAGAGATTTATTGTGCTCTTAACGTCACAAGGGTTGTTCGAGTTTTGTGTTTCATTTCAGTCAATCTCTTTGCATGGGGATAAACTCCAGTAGGCGCGAAAATTTAACTTGAAGGTTAAATAAAAAATACAGCATGTGTATTTTGCGTATGCAAATAAAAATGGAGATGTCCATCTCGGCTCTTTTGTAGAAATTGTATGCTACTGGCTAATCTATCATACAAATCTGAACTGATACTCTTCTGCAAGGAAACTACTGTTTTTGACATGTTTCTCCAGGAAGAGTACACTTCCATTCAAGCGATCACACAGGAGAGGAATATATCTAGTTGTAAAGTGTACTATGCCTTTTTACTCGCTTTACACACTGAGAAAATAATTCTCATGAGTACAAACTATTGATCTTCAATAAAAGATATCCAAATTAAAAAAACGGCAAAACTTGTCCTCAAATATCCCCAAATAGACTTGGTCGCATTGACAACGTCTAGAAACTTTGCATACATTTATAGCTTATAAAATAAAGATATTTGTTGATAGTTTCGCTTTTGCTTTTTAGACTCAGTGTCTTCAGAAGATGAAAATAGAACGACTTTCTCGATCGATCAAGAAGATCGTGAACTACACTCGTTTACATCTTTGACCGTTAATGGTGTGGCTCTCAGATTTTTGCAGTTATTGCGACAGTCACAAATTAGTAAAAAAGAATCTGAGCAATTTTTATCATTTTTCAAATCTTTATTACCAGTTCCAAACCAAATGCCGAAAGATATGAATTCACTTTTAAAGCATTTGGGCGTGAATAACTATTTTAATAAAAGAACAATATGTGTTATTTGCGAAAAAGAACTTAGTCGAAACGAAAGTTTATGCAGTCGATGTCCCCACGCAGAAAAAAAGCACGTTGCTTTTATTTTCGACACGGATTTACATGGTTTACTATCAAGTATTATTTTGAGACTTTCCTCTGATATTGAACAATATAAAAAGCGTATCTCAAATCGTTATTTGCAAACAAAATATGATATTCCATTTGCAAAAGCTTACGAACATTTGTTACAGAAATTTCCAGTGAATAATTTGTTGACATTACTTTTGCACGTGGATAGTGTGGGATTGACAAAGTCGACAAAACAAAAATTATGGATTTGCGATGCTAGTATTCTTGAAATTCCTCCGAAACTTCGATATTGTAGATCAAACATTTTCCTCATTTCGATGTACATTGGCTATTCTGATCCTAACGTCAAATTATGGTTGAAATCCTCCTTTTCTGCGATCAGTTTGCTGAAACAAACAGGTTAGAAAGTTTCGATGTGTCAATAAAAATATTAATCTTTGAATTATTGTTAAATATCATTCTTTTATTGTTCATTTAATTGCTAGATCTTCAAGTTCCAGACGTTCAACAAGTGTTTCGTTTGAAAGTGTATGGTTGTATTGCTGATTGTCCAGCGCTGAAAGTAATGGCCAATATGATTGGTCACACTGGCTATTACCCCTGCTTTTATTGCCATATTAAAGGTACACACGTTCGAGAAGCAAAGAAAAGACAATATGAATTTCAGACAGCACCAATGAATCGCACAGTGAATTCATTTGAACTAAATTCCAAAGCAGCCGAAGAGAATAATCAAAACGTTTTTGGCCACCTTGGCACTTCAATATTAGACGAAATAGTCGATATTCCTTTGCCGCATGCACTAATTATAGACTATTCTCATGTTACACTTTTGAGACATTTTCGCACTATTACTATTACCATTGTTTCGTCATTAGAGCCAAGTAAACGGAAGAAAATTGACGATGCTTTACGGAAGCAAATTTTTCCTCATTTTTTTCATCGAAAAATGAAAGGAATTGAAGATTTTTCCTTCATTAAAGCTACAGAATTGAAAAATCTGCTGTTATATGGATTTATACCACATTTCATGCACTATTTAACAATCGATCAACTAGCTTTTGTGTCTTTGTTGATAATAGGCATTCGTCTTATTCATGCAGATGATAATTTTACCAATAGCACAAGTATTACTGCCAACGAATTACTTTGTAGATATTATTCTGATCACCATATGTACTTTTTGCATCATGCGAATTTTGTTTTACATTTACATCAACACTTTCGACAGATATACGAATATCATGGACCATTATCATCAGTCAACACATTCGCCCAAGAAGATTTCATTGGTTATATAAAAAGAAACAGAAACGGAACCACATCTTTTGAGAATTTGTTTGCGCATTATTATAACATAGATGTTTTGCTGAAACGGTTCAGCAACAATGATGCACGTTTGCTCAATGGTAAGAGTTAGATTCTTTGCTTTTCAACGAAAACGATAGCTCTAAAATGTTTGCTTATGTCATCTACCAGCTAAAGCCGTTTACGTCTGTTTTATTTTTGTACTTGCAAACATTGACTAACTGCTTTTCTCTAGGACCATTAGATTTATTTCCCATGAACAAGGAGGAGCCATTCTTTTTGGAGCTCCTGAATTATCATCGAGACATTTGTGGTTGCAATAATTACCAGGGATGTGTTAAAACATATCGTCGTTGCCTCATAAGGCAAAAAATGTTTCATTCACTTCAATATGTTAAACGCAAACGTACGAATAGCTATTCTGTGCAATATGAGATTCGTTCAGGTCTGAAGGAATTCGGAATTATCGAAGTTTTCTTTCAATGTAAAGGAAACACTTATGCACTAATCAAGAATTTTCAAGTGACCAATGCATTTAGTGATCATTTTCAAGGCAGCCGATACTATGATCTATTGAAGCGGTCTATAGATAAATTTTACTTTGTGGTAAAGAGAACGAACAATGGGCGACTAATTTCGGCCGAAAAAGTCGAAAAACATTTAGTTATTTTTGAAGATATTTTCGGAAAAGCACTTCTTATTACTCCCATTTCATCGATGACTGAACACGACTAAGATCTCGACATTTTTCATCTTCTTACTTCTTTTTTTCATTAGTTATTGTTTCTAAAGATATTGTTTCGTTTACATTTTATTTCCTGGCTCCTTTTATGTTGTTAAGACAAACAATCATCGTCCACTTGTCTTATGATGGTTTTTTAGGAACATCTTTTGATGTATTCGCTATTTTGGTACAAGCATATCTTTCAGGACATTTTTTTTAAAAATAAACTTCCATTACTTTTATTGATAATAAAAGATACTGCAAGAGCTTTCATGGAAAATGAATCGTTTATGTTCAACAACATTACATGTGAACTTTAACTACTCATATTGTTCTAATTGCTTTAGATTTTGCAATGGTTCACCTACAGCGACCAACACTCAACGTGACGCATCGAAAATTTTCGAGTCAAGCACCAACACAAACTCGAGTATCCAATACATTCATTTCTAGAGAAAACTCAAAACGGAAATCAAATATTGGTGACAAATGCCATTTCGATAAATGTGAAGATAAAATGTTCTCTTCTTCCTTTCAGATGACTTTGATTCAACACAACGAAAGAAAGCTAAAGGCAATGAACCATCAAATGGTACTATCTAACTGTCAAAATTTTTACATCTTTAACACTTTCTCGTAGCTCGAGCTGCACCTACTCGTTATGATGAACCATCGACATCTTTGGCGTCAACGTTCGAAATCTCAAGACAACTAAACAATCCACGTAAGTAATGCGAGAGATAACTCCATTAAAAGAGACTAACAGAAGGATATTTAAATGCCGTCATAAACCACAAAAAATGATGTTTCTATTCTATATCTTTGTAAATCATGAAAACAATGGTTGTAATCTATCCATTATAGCTGAGTTCAGTTCGTATCGTGCTCGACGTTCTCGTAATAATCCTGAATCATTATCAACACGTCAACAAAGTCGAGATGTTATGCCTAAAACGCCTATTCGTGTAACACATGGACATGATGCATACAATGATGACGAAAACGACGATGAAGAGGAGCCAAGTAAGAGAAATACAAATATCTTCAAATTTCTATGTAATCCTCCTAGGCTTTGACTCAACTCAACGCGCTGTTCGCGATGTATATAAGCTCGATGAATTACCTTTAAATCGATCGAATTCTCGTCGTGATTCTCATCAACATGCGAATCGTTCTGCTCGTGTTTTTGACGATGAGGATGATGAGGATTGCCATGCTGACGACAATGAAGGTAAGACTTAGGAAAACAAATATGATTTCATGTTCTAGCATATGAGCTAAGGAACAATTTATGTATAAAAAATTTGAAATAACGTTTTGTTAACTCAATATTCTTTCGCTTGTAGATTTCGATACTAGTTCTGATCGTCCATTTCAGCAGTATTTCAACAATAAATTTGACCAATTGAAATACGGTAAGTAAAATAAAACGACATCTATCCTCTCATCCTGTGGATCAAAACTATATCAGCCTCGTGTCCAAACCCTCACCATTTTCGTAACAACGAATATTCTTTATATTTTAACATAGATTTGACAACTGCAACTGACCAGTTAACAGGTACTGTTCAAACACAGTTGAACAAACTCGATAAACAAATGCGCGTTTTATCTAAAACCGTCCATGTCAATTCCGTAATTATTCATATCAACACAATCAAATCGTTTAATTAGCTCTCTTTATTAGGTAAATCCAAGTATTGCACCCTACCAAAACCCTACACACCAATTTCCAAAAGTAGTAGTAAGTGCACTTATTAAGAGTCTCATATTACAAAGCACTATACTCTTTCGCTAGGACTTCAACGGATTGAACTTGATAACTGTGTCCAGAGCAACCGATTACAAAAAGTTTGCGCGTAGTCTCTTGAAAACTTTATTTTCACGTGCTGAACTCGCCAATTCTATATTGTTCTCAAATCAAATTTACAGTCGACCAGGTTTGGATCCAAGCAGAATGGCACTTTGGGCAGGTAACCTATTATTCCGCCAAGACAGCTTATTCTACTACAGTCCAATTTCCCTTTTTTTTACTGCATATAACTGCACCAATCTAACCGCAAACGTTCGATCATTATTTCCTAATTCCTTTCGCCACGGGCAAATAGGCCATCATCTACCATATAAAGTGTTCAGGAATCAGCCATCTTCTTCCGATCACTACATTCCCTATCAGCTTTAGTCTCCGTTTATCGTACTAAGTTTCTTTTCGAAAAATTCATCTTCTCTTACCAACTAAATACCACATATGTAGATCTGTTCATCATTCCGCCGAAAACTCTTTCAAAGTCATATTCTAATCTCCCCACGAGATACTTTTTATACATCTCAATAAGTCTTGTTACCGTAGCCACAGCAAACGACACCATACTCACTTATATTCCACAACCGAAATCAAAATTAGATTCCCCGGTTCTTTTCGATCTATGTGTCGCGCATAGAAATCCATTTGTTTTGCTTCTATATCGAGCGGATATAGATGTGATTGAGTGCCGTTTTCGATCTATGTGTCGCGCATAGAGATCCATGTGTTTTGCTTCTATATCGAGTAGATATAGATGTGATTGAGTTTCGTTTTTGATCTATGTGTCGCGCATAGAGATCCATGTGTTTTGCTTCTATATCGAGTAGATATAGATGTGATTGAGTTTCGTTTTTGATCTATGTGTCGCGCATAGAGATCCATTTGCTTTGATTCTATATCGAGTAGATATAGATGTGATTGAGTGTCGTTCTGTGTCGATATTGTCGATGTTGAAAATTGTGGTGTTGTTTGGATCAGAAATATCCGAAGTTATTGCTTCTTCTTTGACGTTTATGTAGATAGCTAGGGGAATATGTTTTGAAGCTTTTTTGTGTGCGAATGAATTGATCTTTTTTTTTGTTTAGAGGCCGTTTGTGCTCGATTTAGAATTGATCCTTTACATTTTGACGAGTTTCTGCGAAATTGTCTTCGAAGAACTTTAGCGCAAATGCTGTGTGATGTTCGTCGTGAGTATAGAAGAAGTGGTGCTAATAATAGTCCTGCAAGTGGTGGAACACATGCGACAGGTGGACCAACGTTTCGAGTTGCTGCTAGTCCTGGTGACGGTGGCGTTTCTGATGAAGATGTGGAAGATATGGTAATGAATGAAAGTCTACTTAATTGAGTCGTTCGGAGTGGTAAGCATTGTTGTTGAAAGATTAATGAAATTCTATACGCTGTTTTTCTTGGTGTTGTACAGGGATTCGACGTTGGGGACATTTGATGTTGTATTTTGGTGTTATTTATGCTGTGTCAGATTACGTATCGATTTTTCTGTTTCGATGTTTTCCTTTGTTTTTTTTGGTCGTGGCTTAAACATTCTCTGATATTTCTAGAAGTTGTCTTTGTTCTTTATCAAAATCGTACTCCTTATATTTTCGCTTTTCCTTCGAACCTGTGTAAAAATAGATCTTATTTCGCTGCGGCCGATTTTTATGGTTAATATTTGTTATTCTGTTCTTTTTTCAAAACGATTTTATTGTTTTTCTCCATGGGATAATTTTTTCGATCGTACACATTTGTAGTCTAGAAGTCTCACGAAACAAGAGAAGAGTGCTTCTCTCACTGAGTGTTGAAGGTGATATTTATCATTTTTTATTCTAACACCTTCGGCTAACTCCTTATGGCTTACAAGCATGATTTTTTATCCAAATATTCAGTTAGCTTGAAAATAAAACGTTTCTCATTGAGACTTAAACAATTTCATTTAAATTTTCTGGTCGAGTAAATACTTTGCATGGGTAACGTCTGTGCACAAAGAAATATATAAAAATCATATTGATATGATCAGATATGATTGGATAATCGGTTCTTGTCCGAATCTTATACAAAGAGATGATGTAGGAAATCGGGGACCACGATTTTGCGTCAGATTTTTCGTATGATCATGCATGATCATGTCCGATCTTCACGCAATAACAGACATGATCGCACAAGAATCTGAGACCGATCTTATTGTCTGATTGATTGACCTGGGAAGTTAACTCTTTAAATCGAAAGACATTTTCATCGTTGCAAGAACGTAAAACAATCCTCGATGGATACGATTGAATAACCGAATTTAGCTTTTGATTCAAACCAGAAAATGATTGAATTACATGTATAAACGATAGATAATCAAAGATCTCGAATAATAATTCACTTGGAAATTCGTTGAATCCATAAACTGCTTTCGTGAGTAGCATCGTATATATTACAAAAATATATGCGTGAATGAAATATGGTGCGGGTACAGAAATCAATCGTGTAAAATGAGGATGGATGGTCGATTATTTCATTGCAAATCAAACAGTATACAGAAAAGAACAGTAACCGAAAGTTTACCTTTATCGAGAGATATGACCGTTCACAAACGTATGTGGGTTAAGAACATTTGACAATATAATGACGATGTACTTTCTATCGGATATAAATAAACTTATTTTCGATATTTCGCTTTTTGACAGTCTTGATCGATACGAGATAAGATATTTGAATATGAATTTGATAAAAATCAAATGAATAGATGACAGTATTGACGAAACGGTGAATTTAGACTTCTATAATTATCCTTCAATGAAACCGAATTGCAATTAAAGAGAAGACTAGTAGTATAACGAGAACATACTTCACTCCTTTAATTGAAAATATATGAAAGATCGATGTGAATATAGATACAATTTCGGTTCATCGCTATCCCTTAAACCATTAAAGAACATATATACGCTGTTATCAGTCCAATTATATTTTGTAGATTCAACGCGCTCAAGATTTGTATCTTGAAATAAGCATCAATTTAATTATCGCACAGTACTAAGGTAGTAATCAAGAATACAAGCACTCGATCAACTCCGTCAGTTCATCGGTGAAATATGGACCATACTTATTGTTGATTTTATTTCTTGTAAGATTAAGCGTAACGACTGTCTATAAAGAAGCGGCAAATCTATCTGACTTTCGTATGAAATCATAGAGCAATACGTGTTGTGCCTAATTCGTTTTCTTGCAACATCTAGAATGATCAGTACTTGTAGAAATGTAATTTCACGAATGGAAATTCAGCAAAGGATATATTACATGGGAGTCGTTCTTATAATGATGGAAAACTATCGGAACACTCTAAAACTTTCACTAAATATAGATTTATTAGTATACGATATTTATAACAGATCGGACCACATGTATCATAGGAAACGTTAATCAACCATATCTAAGCAACAGGCATCACATATATTAATCAACGACTGTTCTACTGCTTCAGAATATAGAAAGAGCACTCCTCTCGTGGCTTTTTGGATATGGAGTTAACCTTCTTCTAAAAACAGCGAACAATAGTGATGATATGGACACTATAATAAGAATTAATCGAACATGTTTCTCACAAGACAATGAAAAATATGATGATTATGCTCGCCAACGGAACAACTAGCTCTTGACGATGAGTACCAGCGACAAGGTTTTGGATCACGGTCAGTAAAAATATCTTTAATTAAATTTCAAAATTTATTGCGCACACGTCTAAATGATCCATTGTTGAAGACTGGAATCGTTCATCTATCAACTGGTTGTAAGAATCATGGAGCACAGTCATTTTATAGGAAAATACCGGGAGTCGAACAGAGAGGCGGTCAAATAGGTGCTAATGATTATGGTGAAGAAGAAATTTGCATGATTAACGAAAATTTAGAAGTCGTTCTAGAGAAATTCATTAAAGCATGTCAAAGTATAATAGCTGATATTTAACGAGAAACATGACTCGTTGCGAGTAGATAAACGGTTAATATTCGACAATGTGAGCATAATTTTCTTCGAGGAAATCAGATGAAAGATTTTATTCAACGGCATCGGATTACAATATTCATTCAAATCCAGTCGTCGAAATGATGTTTCTGAAGCATCTCTTGAATAGCATGATTACCGTAACAAATCCAGTTCCTTCAATTGAAATGACGTGTTCCACCAGTACTGATATGATTCCAACGCAGCATTAAGGTAGTAAGTGTCTGACACACGAAAGTTGAACATAGGTACAGAAGATCAAACATACGAGCACATTACTTCGTTCACTTTTAGTGCATCGGCGAAACATTTTGCTCCGTAATCACCGATTCCAGTGTTAATAAGCCACAGTGTTGTAAGTGTCTGGTACGATATACTGTGACATGAATGATGTGCTCGAGTTGCTACGCTGTATGCAAACCTTATTATGTAGAAGTGCTTCGGCTAGAAGCTGACCACCACCAGCTGTGATCCGATTGCTGTTAAGATTAAGCGTTGTCAGTGACTAAAAGTATACTTTTTCGCGTGTGACGAAATGTCAAATTGCAGTGTGATTTCACCTGATTATGTCGGAGCATTTCGTTCAAACTTGCGCACTTGCGACCATCAATTTTACAACTAGCGAGAGACAGAGTAGTGAGCGTCTGCGAAGAGAGACGTATATCAACTAGTTGTAATCAGCAAATAGCATGATGCTGTACTTTGTTGACTTTTAATGCTTCAACTAGATGGGATAAGGCAGTCTGCGTAATAAGTAAGTTATCCAGCGATAAAGATCTGATCTGATAATACAGTGTCTCACGATCAATCTTTAGAGTCATTTGGAAATTCTCTTACGTGATTAATTCGTAGCACTCCCACTATATTCAATATTCCTTCATCACGGAATCGATTAGCACCAATATCAAGGGTAGAAACTGACTGTAGATGTTCACAACAATTAACAGCCAATAAACAATCATATGGTGAACTTACGCAGTTGATGTGCAATGCTTCAGTTATATTTTTTGCTCCTGATCTTCGAATATCATTATTTCTCAAATTTAATGTCGTGAGTGTCTGTTTACAATTGCAACATGATACCTTATAAATGTCAGCAGACAAAATCAACAAATCTACCTGATTTTCATGCAGAGCTCTACCAATAAATAATGCACCCATTGGACCTAGCTTGTTTTCCGCGATGTTTAGAGTGGTAAGCGTCTGAATAGGTACGATTTTATCGATGATTTACTTGATAGAGAGTATACTGATCTCACTCGGTTCTTTTTCAATCCATTGGCTATATGACATGCTCCAGTATCAGTAATTGCGTTCTTACTGAGATCTAATGTCGCGAGTGTCTATAACGTTATACCGTAGTATTTAAATGTCAACAGGCAGAATCCTTGAATCTACTTGATTTTGACACAAAGCTTTACCAATATGTACTGGACTCATTGGACCTAGCTTGTTGTTAGCGATGTTTAAAGTAGTTAGTGTCTGCAAATAAATACGTGCACTAATTATACATTTCAGAGAGAGAATGTTGATTTTACTTGATTCTGCTTCAATGCATCAGCTAGATGTTGTATACCCTCATCAGTGATATTATTGCTGCTGATATTTAGTGCACTAAGTGTCTATAAGTAAGAATTATATGTAAAATAAAGTACTCAAGCAAGTTTATACTATACGCACGTGATTCACTACCAATGCTGCAGCCAAATGCTCTATTCCAGGGTCACGCATCCAATTATCATCGAGATTTAACGTTGTGAGTGTCTGATAAGGAATGATAGTTGTCAAAATGATCATGATCGAAACACAAACTTGATTGACTTTCAAGGCATCTGCTAAATATTTTGCTCCTTCACTAGAAAGCGAAACGTTTGACAGAGTTAGTGAAGTCAGTGTCTGTAAAATAAACATAGCAACCGTGACGTAGCTGCAAAAACGCTGATCAATCTTGCCTGATTGACTATAAGTGCATCAGCAAGATAGCGTGCTCCTAGTGCAAGAATTGCATTTGACTTCAATTGGAGTGTAGTGAGCGTCTGTACATCAATGTCGTAGTGTGGATATACAAATGTAAGCCTATGACAATTATACTTGATTCATGTGTCGTGTTTCGTCTAGAAGCAGTTCTCCTTCATTTCCACTAGCGAGTCCAAACATAGACAGTGTGACAAGTGTCTAATACCAATACCACAGTAATGATATAATTGTCAGGATGTACACCAACCTTACCTTGTTGGTTCGTAAATGCTTTGCCAAAAACCATGCTTCAATAGGGCCATTAACAGAACTCTGTGCAAGTATTTTTGTTAGTGTCTGCCAGATCATAAGATCTTGATATTGACTCGAACAAAGATAAATGAACATTACTCGATTGATTTCCAAGGTCTCAATCAAATATTCTGATGCTTCTTCCCGAAGACGGTTGCTATCAAGTGTCAGTGTAGTGAGTGTCTACACACATAATCCATCTGAGCACTCTTTCTAAGAACTTTCTCGACTTTTGCACCTGATTATTCTTCAATGCATCAGCTAAGTGTCGTATTCCATCATTTTCAATCCCATTGGAACGCAGATGTAGTATTTTGAGTGTCTTCAAGAAAGAAAATAACTATCAAAGCAAACGATTGTCGACGAGAAGATCTCACTTGATTGACTCTCAATGCATCAGCTAGGTACTGAGCACCAGCACTTTGGATATAGTTACCGCTGAGGTTGATTTCGATAAGTGTCTATTGTAGAGAATCATAATAACGTTATGCGAATGGAGTAACAGCGCTAACTTGATTAATTTTCAGCGCGTCAGCCAGGTGCTGTGCTCCATGAGCGTGAATAGAGTTCGATTCAAGATTGATCGAAGTAAGTGTCTGGAATAAGAACTCACCATACAGATATGAATGACTAAGTATATTTTTGTCCTACTTGATTGACTTTCAAAAACTCTGCGAAATGCTGTGCTCCAGCATCCTCGATATACTTATATGTAAGATCCAATTTGGTAAGCGTCTAAGAAGATGAAAACAAAGCGATAGTCGATAGTTGTTGACAGCTTCTAACATGGTTGCATTTCAGTGCATCAGCCAGATAGTAGGCACCTCTGGCATGAAATTCGTATGACGGCAAACCAAGTTTAGTGAGTGTCTGCGTGCAGAACGTGCGAAATGTATGTATTTAAACAAGCACATGCTGGCAGTACTTGAGGAACTTTCCAAGCAGTAGCCCAATTCAAATGTAGAGATAATGGCGGCAACTGGTTGTAGGGAATTATTTCTGTGATCGTCTATAAGTAATTGTACTAATAGTTTATTCTGTAAAATGTTCACGAGAATCTTACTTGATTGACTCGTAATAGTTTGGCTAAATGGCATGCCGCGATAACACCACTGAATTGGTCACCCAGCCACAGCTCTTCGATTGTCTGTGATATGGTCAGTGTGATATTCGTCCTAGCAAAGTTGCTCTATAGTCAAACCTCGTTTATCGATACAACGTCTGCCAAATATTCGGCACCGACAATGCTAATACTACTCCACCGAAGATCTAGCGTAGTGAGTGTCTGTCACGAAATGTTTCGATTAATTAGAAAACCTAATACAACCAGTTCCGTTCTACCCGATTGACTTTTAATGCATCAGCTAGATACTGTGCTCCAACATCGCCAATTTGATTTCCGAATAATCGAAGTGAAGTAAGTGTCTATTGGGCAAAATCTTAGTAAAAATGTGTTTGAATGGTTCCACGTATTAAATCTCACTTCATTCACTTTCAGTGCATCAGCCAAGTACCACACCCCTTTATCGGTGATCCCTTTATTGCCAAAATTTAGATCGACAAGTGTCTGAAAGACAAATATTTAATGATGTCGCACTACCCCCTCT